TTATCCCCTGTTTCGCACCATCGAAAAAGAAGATTAGTTGGTAAAGGCGGAGAACAATACAAATTCTTTAAAAGACTTCCATATTTCTTTTGGATCAAGTATGCGCTCATGGAATGGAGATTGGTGGAAGTGGTTAAATTCATGTGAAATAAAAGGGGAGAGTCGTCGTTTAATATGTAGTGAGGGCAACTCATTGGCGGCAAAATGAACTATGCCCATCATTTTGGCCATCTGTAGTGTGAAGTTGCTCAAAGAATGGACTTTAGCCTCTACCCATTGTGGGATGCTGTCGGAAATGCATGTTCACAAATTAGATGCTCACAACTGGCACGTCTTCATAAACACACTTCTATAAACGTTAGTTATATGTGCGCTTAACCAATTCTTCGACCTTGTATTCCATGGACGCATACTAATCACAAGAGGGAGGAGGCCATTTATCCTACACATATTCCACAGTTCCAGATGTCAAGCTCCTCTAGCAAATCTACTCCAGTGGAGAGTAGGAAACCGGAGGCGGAAGTGAATGAGCAAGAGCATATTACGTACGTTGAATCATTGAGTGAATTTGCTCACAGTAACTATGAGTGAATGCCTAAGGTAGGCATGAAAACCTAGCTATTTTGAGGAGGGACCAGTAGCAGTGCTGACAAGCGTCATTGTAGAGACACCGGCTCCATGAAAATCACAAGGGCATAACCTAGGGCAGTATGCTCAAGCCTATGAATACTGGAATTACCTCTGCAAAAAGTGATGATAATTACACCCCCAGATTGGTAGCGTCATGCCCATCTTTGGTTAAACTTAAAATGGCAAGTTAAATTAGCACCCCTGCTCAAGATTGTGGTAGGCACACCATCATTTGCCACACGTATTGCGTTGAATGTGGTGTGCTCAAAAAGCCAGAAAAGGTTGTTTAAAATTGCTTTCTCGGTGAATTTTCGTTTTTCATTTCACTAAACCCAAATACGCACAATCCAGGCAACTGCAGCGTGGAAAAATGCCAAATAATAGGCTGATATTTGCTGATATGCAATTGAGGAATATCCACGGGTATGAATTATGTGAATACGTTTGCACTATTTAGTCAGATTTGTAAGCCTACGCGATTTTAACGCCGCGAGAATAGGAAGCTGTCAATCTGCCTAATCAATCGCCTGATCAGTTAATCAAACACTTCACCAATTGATCATTCATGCAGTTAATCTATATGGAGAAAAGAACTACCAAACTTCATTTATTTTTTGACTTGTTAAGTTGGATTCCTTTTTTTTGCTTTTCAAACGATTCTCAAAGAATACACGAGTAGTAAATGGTTGAAAATATAGTAGTTTTACTTAACATTAATTTGCGTTTATATTTTACCGCAATACTCCGTGGAACTAAATCTTCCAATAAACAAAATGTTTACCTTTTTGTACACGTGTGTATTAACAAATTTAGCATTGCATATCACTTCTGCACATTTATGCGCATGTGTGCTTAGTACAAATCCCGTACCTCTTTATATGCACACACGTATTTAAATGTTTACATATGCAAATTTAAATAAAATTTGTGCTTACACAAACATACATATACATATATGAATACACATATATGTATATATACTGAAATTCAGCAATTCAAAACAATTTTACTCAATCGTACGCATATATACAAATAAAAAACACATGAAAAATCATGCGTGTCTATTTATATACCCAATTTCTACAATACAAACCACTTTCTCTAATTCGTACCTATATACTTATATGTACTCAAATTCAGAAATAGCAATCACTTCCACCCCTACGTACACATTCATTTTAACAGTGTGTCACAATGTTTTGTTGATCGCTTGAAAGGTCTTTCAGTGTACATCACTTCCAACGTACTGCAACCTTCTGAGTGGAAGTAGTATTATAGAGGAACATAATTTTCAAGTCTGCACTTCTGAAAAATCCTCCAGATTTGGCGGTTTTGTGTTCTAGCAAGACTGCAATTTCAACAGAGGAGGAAAGATACTAATATGATAAGAAATGACGATTCTGGATAGGCTTCCAATGCAAGTGTCGAAAGACCGTCGACTCCAAAATTGTACTCTGCTGATAAAATACACCAGAAAGTACCTTTTGAATAGTAAAAGTCTCTACTGCCTGTCTATGATGCTGTTACTAAAACCACGTACATGGCTACGCAGAGAAGAAAAGGTGTGGAGATAGGGTTTTGGCTAAGAATATCTGAGTATCATGGACTCAAAAAGGAGTTTTTGGCCAATTCCTCAATCTTAAAAGGAAATAATGTCTTGTCATTCACTAAGTGGGTACTTCGCAAACACCAACAAATGGATTGACACTTCATTTACAACGTGATTTTCTGCATCTATTTTGACACCAACGAAAGTAATACCAAAGCTGGAGTAAAAAAACAATAACAAAATATTAGGATAAGAAGAAGTTGTCAGCAGTTCAGGAAAGATGTAACAAAATAATGCTCTTGATATAGGACTACACCACTCCCATTGATTTGGCCATCAACCAGAGTGATCTTTAATTTGTGCTATTTGTATGTGAAGTTTTACTGCTTCCACTATACAATCCACTCGAGAATGACATGTGATTCTGTTAACTCTCTTATTACTGCTACACATTTTCCAGCTCTCCACATTCCACTTAAACTGCGATACTTTGCCTGTCGTTGATTTCATCGCAGATCAGCAGGTAATACGGGTCGACACCATGAGCATCTGCTTCTAAGAAAAATATAACAACTTCTGCTGATGCTTCAAAGACAACATGCGTGCTTGTGAATCGGTTATAAGTGAGTGGGGCTGTACACAATCAAGCTGTGATATAATTAGGTCGGGCCTTACGAAAGATCCCAATCATGGGCTTTGTCTTATCCACAACCACTTTATTCGTATAACTGACTCGAAGTGGAGAGGTGGAGGGTAGATTGTAAAGACATCTTCTTCACACTTCTCCGTGTTGCATGCATCTGATTCCAACCTAATTGCTAATCTTAACGCGTGCATCTAGATTATTGGGAGGGGAGGAAAAGAAGACATGAAAGCAGGATGTTGGCACAACTGGCTGTTGCAAACCGCATGCCCCATTACACAGATTTGATGGTCACTCTTGGTAGTAAGAATCTAGGTCAGTTAAGAAAATTTGTTCAACGCCTCCGTACAGCGATGCTTCTCGAGTAGAAGTACTTCATCAACTTCACGCTGTACCACTCAGCTGTGATGTCTTTTAGAATCTACCTAAGCAATGATTAAAAAGAATTCAGCCAAACAAATCGCCTTTTATCTACTCAACTTTCTTTATATTCTTTACTCCATCAGACACAATGCTATTTAACTACCCAAGGTTTTTTTTTCATTTAAAGCTTTTAATTGTACGGACTAGGGCCGATGTCAGTTGCGCGTGCTCTGATCTTCATTTAGTAAGCGGCTGTGTGTACCACGTCACGCCACACTCACCATTTCCACTCCTTTTTATCTCTTCCTTTCTTTCTAACACACACACACTTTACATAAAGGAGGAAACATAACCTTGGTGGTGTGGAATAGATTATGGTACGTGTATTAAAAGTGCGCTTTGAATAGTAGGTAAGTGAGTGCATAGGTAGTTGATTCTGTAGTGCAACGTAAAGCAGCAGACAGGTTGGAATGGCCTAAATCTACGTTTAGTGATGCGAGTAGTATGGTGGGAGATATCAGGCAAATAGAAGAGCACAGAGCGAGTATTGATGGGCCGTTGCTTATGCTTACCTTTCCAAGATTTATGGAGGGTTGTAGACACCAAGAGAGTCTACAAGATATATCTATCCTTGCTACACACATCTGCACCTAGTTTACGACTGCGAGACAATATTATCTTAAGTTCACAAAAGGCGGTAAACACAACTTAAGTTAACACACGGATCGCTTTAAATGTTGTGCACTCAAAAATCCATTAAACCTATTTACAATTGTATTATAGTAAATTTGCAGGGGTTCGATTTCTATTTTGCGAATAGAATATGCTGAAAATATTCCCTATAAAATGAAAAGTGCCTTCTTATTTTCCATGACACTAGTCTTAAATTTATAAACAAAACCTTAAGAAATCAAAAAAGGAAAAGACTAATTTCGCCTGAGAACATCGGAGCATCAAGAACACAAAGGAAAGTAAATCAATCAAAACGTATGAAAAAATTATCCTCCAATAAAGGCTTATCATTTATTAAGTGGGTATAGAGCAAACAACGGCACTTTGTCGAGGGGCTATCTACTTTACCCCCATGGGAGTCCCCAGAAAAATGTTGCACAAGCAGCCATATAATAAACATCAAAATATGGTGTGGCAGTAAAAGGTTTTTATCAGAACTGCACAAATGTAAAACAGAAATGCACCACTCCCATTGATTTAGCTATCAACCACAGTGATCGTCTAGTTGCGCCGTTTTTATGAGAAGTGTTGTAATCTTCATCACCCAACCCGCTAGAGGGTGACATGTGATTCTGTTCATGCAGCCAGCTTTGCTGAGCATTTTCAGCTCGCCACATTCTACTGAAACTATATCACACCGGTTGTCATTGATTTTTTCGCACATCAACAGGTAGCAAGTGGTAACACTATGAATTTTAGCTTGTGCCAAAATTGCAATAACTCCCGTTGATACATCAAAGAAGGCTTGTCTGTAGTTGAGTCGATTGTGAATAACTGGGCTCAGCACATTCAAGATAGGCGATATAATC